GCTGAACGGAGATGAGGGTGGGGGGAGGGAGTAAATATGGTGACCTGGTCGCACGACAGAACTCCAATGTGCTGATTGCTTGAAAAGGCATAGCAAGCACATAGTTCATTCGTTTTAGATACCATAACGTTGCAGAACTTGCCTCACAAACGAATCGTGCACTTGGCACGCGGCTCACCGGGTAGCCAAAACCTGCTACCGGGTAACCAACATCCATTGCCGTTCGTGTGGGGTTCTTCACCGACCATCACAATCTGCGCTCCAAGTTCGAGTATTTCGGTTCAAGCCTACCTTTGCAGAAACAAGAAATGAAGCTACGTAGTCTACCACGTGTACGTGCGATGCCTGTAGTAGTGCGTCGACGTCAACAGTAGTCACCATTCATCGATTGCGATCTAAACCTTGGTGTAGCTTGCACCACAACCAACAGTAGTAGAACGGCATAGTAGTGTACTCACATGTACGCGCTTTCCCGGGCGAGAACGGGTCGCACGAACAGCCGCCTTGGGCGGAATCTGGGAGACTTGCCTCACCGTATCCTTTGTCGGCAGGTGCTGGAGGTGAGGGCGGTGGTGCCCGTCCTCCGCTGTCAACCTTGCCCCTGCCGGCCCCCAGTACTCTGTCGAGGGAGAGCTACGGTTGGTGTAGCCAGCAGGGGGTGACCAATAGTTGCCTCTCGCCTGATTGTACCCCCTCTGGAACTGGCGGCCGAAGGACGGGCGGTTGGTCGAGGGGGGAGCCGGTGTAGTGTCATAGCGGGCTGCCCGTTTTCGTCAGGAGTGGGTAGGGCCGAGGCGGGCCTGGAGGTGATCACCTGGAACGAAGATAGATTGGTTTCAAAGGGGATAAGAAGAAAATACGTAGTCCGTGATTTCATTTCCTGGGACAACATGAGTACATAAACAACTTCACCTTTCTTTCGGGGTTGCTATCAAGATCGAGAGAAAGTTGCGGTAAGGCTTCGTCTCAGAAAGAGTGCCTTCGCTACACGCATAATTACTAACTGTCCTCACCACACGTTGAGCCGATGGCCCCGGTGGCTCTGTTGATACCCTTCTCACGTTGAGACCTCGGTTGGAATCTCGGTATAATCAAACGAACTTCGCATTTTTTTTGCATATGCCAAAGAAATGGGACAGCAGATGTATGATAAAATCGCGAGTGCGAAAAAAATCGGCTTTACGGTCCACAAGGGGATGGCTTGAACCCTTCTCAGCATCGAAAGAAGGCTAGCTAAGGAACAGAAGCAAGGTAGAGACATTGCCCTGCTGATGTGTGGCCTGCCTCCTGCGTGTCCCCATTTGATGGTCTACATAATAACCTACCATGGGGTGTACAGGGTCACGCGATGCTCCCATCCGCCTTTCGATCCTCCTTTTCTTCGCCTGCAAGCCTACACTCACAGCAGTGGCTGCTCACTCACTTCTTTACCCGTCGGTAAATCCGTTCTTCAGGTTGTGGTGGGGCTACTCTCACGCCGCAAGATCATTTAGTCGTATCAGCACAGACAATTCCCGTCATCCTTCTTTGTCTTTTGCCGTCAAAAACAGGGTCGTTTGTAAAATCAGCAAAATGAGAGGGAGTGACGGAGTGAGCAACTGCAAGCATCCGTCCGTGTGCCAAATCGCCAAATCCCTGCCGCTGTGCCGTTTCGGATTCCGGAGTTTCGCCGACGTTCGTTCGGGAGGCGTTCTTCAGGCAACAGCAGCAGCACCACATGAAAAAAAAGAAACTGATGAGCCAACTCTGTGTATGATTCATCTACAATGCATACTGCAGTACATATAATAGTAGTCTTTTGTATCGGGCTCGATTTCTATGGCGCCGACTGGCTGTCTGTGTTGTCTGCGACCCCTCAGCATCTGCTGCTTGCTGTGCTGCACTGCTACAAATAATGAATCTTGTGTGATGATGATCGATTGATTACTGACCGAACAATAGTCGACCTGTAACCAACGCATGCACGCGATTTCTTTGCTCAAAACTATCACTCAAGAGAGTCCGACGGCTATTATTAGGAGTATGTGATTTCCCCACTCCCATTGACTGTGAAGACTTGATTCAATGCATATCCCCTCGACTAGAGTATTGGAGAAGTATTCTTTCACGCGAAGCCATTTTTTTTGTTTTTTTTCTCCTCCCCTGTTTGTTTGAAACCATGATTCTCATGCATGTATAGTATGTATTTCGTGTACGTACGTACAAACACACACGTATTAATAGTAGTAAATAGAGGTTCGTTCCCTAGGAGGAGTATAATATTATAATGCAGGTGTGTGCCCAAAAAAAAATCACCAGACCAGTGTTCCGGACACCGGCCGGCCCTGTTCGAAGACCAGATTGACTTGGTTATTATTCCGTCTGTGCCCGCCGAAAACACGGGCACTATTATTCCGGGCACCATCATTTTATATATTCAACGGGCACTAAACGGGGCCGCCACTGAAATCTCTTTTCAACGATAGGGATGGATTCGTTGTGTCATATAAAAAAAAAATAATAATACGCACACACACACCAAGAATAAATCCCGCGCCCACCACACCTATTTTGTTTTTTTCGGGCCTCTCGTCGTTGTGACCCCGCTTACAAAACTTCATCGCAACATAATGCAAAACTTCATTGCATCATAATCGCAGGTAGGTCTCGTAGATGTTCACGACGGCACAGCAGTACGACCATCATTCGCGGTAGGCGCCTCTGTGCAGCGGCATCTATCTGTGATGCATCTGTCTGCGCGTCGTAGGCTGACTTAGCCTACGGACGAGTAACAGCGCCAGCGATGAATGGATCCGCTGAGAGAAGAGGAGAGAATGACAATAATCAAGACAAAATGTATCTGGCGATCAAGGTGAGGATACACACACATGTTTGATCCGAAGGATAATTTAGCCTACGCCATGCTGCCCCCTCACGAGGTCCCAGTTCATGGCAGATAGAAGTGTTTTGTGTGATCAACCACACTAAGACTGACGTCTTTTCATTGGTCAGCCGGTTAGCGCGGTCGGTGCTAATAATAAAAACACACCCACACGTACGTGTCGTTACCCAGATCATTACAATTATATCGTTGATGTCTTCAATTCAATAATTAATACCCCGTATACAAACTATCAAGTCCTACTCATCTCCTCCACCTCCACCTTTCTTTTCCTCCAAGCAAGCTGCACACTACCCCACCATAACCTTCCCCGATGCAGACGTGCTTCCTCCGGAAATGATCAATTTGCATCCACATCTCTACCATGACCAACCCTGACCTATTGATGAAGTGGTGTTCCCATCACGCCACGAACAAACGGCATGAACGCTGTCGCCATTTCTTCTTCTTTTTCTGCGGCACCCTAGTTTGAGGACTACCTGCTGCTGCTGTAGACATCAAGCAACACAATAAAACAAGTTCTGCCTGTATCGACCAAAAATCAATGAGTGCATTGTTATAGTACTGCTAGACAGCGCGCGTTCTTTAGTACTCCTAAACAGCGTGCGTTCATCGACCCAAGAAAACAAAGTGACGGCGAGTAAGTGACCAGAAAAACGACCAACCGCTCCAACACGCTGCTGCTGCTGCCGTTGTTGGGGTGGGGTTTCTTACGCATGTTGTACCACAACGAAATCTCCGACAAAATGAAAAAGGACAAACAAACAAAGTTCGCCCAACACAAAAAGGACAAAACTAACAGACAATAGTTTACCCAGTACACTTACGTACGTAGGGTACGTGCTACAACCTTCTGCCAACGAACGGGCAGCTACTCCAGCGCTCCTCGTTGCCAAAAGAGAGTGCGGGGGGGGGGGGGGGGGGGGGGGGGGGGGCAAGATCCCCACCCACCCACACATTTTTACCCGGGAAAAAAGTGGGGGCCCCTTTCCCTCTTGGGTTAAAAAAAAATTTTTTTTTT